ACAGAGAGATCCCATCTGCTGTTTGTGTAGAATTCAAATCTAACTGGGTATCCTGGGATTTTATTCGCCAAATCTGGTCATCCTAACTGCAAGACATTTGTCAAACGAATGTATAAGAATTTTGGAGGTTGAAAAGCTGAGGGGACAATGGTAGATAACTTAGCAACTTACAGAAAATTAAGTGCTAAACATCAACAGGGCTGGAGGAAAAGAGGACAGGAATGAGGAAGCCACGAAAGAGAGATAACCTGTGGCGCGCAATCCTGGAAACTATAAGGAATTAAAGGCATTAAGTGCTTCCAAAGTGGGGGGTATAAAAATGCATGGGAGTGGACAGTGGGGGAACTCAAAACAGGAGGAGTAGATTGAAGTGTTTAAAAGAAACAGACACTTATTAATTTATCTTATGTTTATTTAATTTTGAGAGAGTGAGCAGGGGAGGGGCAGAGAGAGAGAGGGGAACAAAGGATCCAGAGCCGGCTCTGTACTGACAGCAGCGAGTTCGATCCAGGGCACAAACCCATGAATCCTGAGATCATGACCTGAGCAGAATTTGGGCACTCAACTGACTGAGCCACCCAGGCGCCCTGAAAAGAAACAGACATTGAAAACTATCCACATCCTGGGGCGCGTGGGTGGCTCAGTGGGTTAAGCTTCTGACTTTGGCTCAGGTCATGATCTCACGGTTCCCGAGTCTGGCTCTGTGCTGACAGCTCAGAGCCTGGAGCCTCCTTCAGATCTGTGTCTCCCTCTGTCTCTGCCCCTCCCTCACTCGCTGGCTCTTTCAAAAAGAAATAAACATTAAAAAAAAGAGAAATGTATAAAACTACCCACATCCTGACCAGATAGATGACTGCCTGTTTTACTCAAGCAGAGAACTAAAGTTTTGCCTTCTCTCTCTCTCAAAAATAAATAAACATAAAAAAAAAAAAGGGAAATGTATAAAACTACCCACATCCTGACCAGATAGATGACTGCCTGTTTTACTCAAGCAGAGAGCTAAACTTTTACCTTATATAGAAAATGAATCATAAAAATACAATAGAAAAAACAATTGCACAGCAATTTTGATTAAATGTAACAGAAATTCATTATAAAAGCTATTAGCAAACAGCAATAGACAGGGATTTCCCTAGCCTGATAATAGATCTCCACAAAAACCTTCAGTAAACGTAATACTTACTGGTGGACAATGGAAAGCTTACCTCAGAGTTTAGAGATAGAACAAGTGTGTTCGATAAAACCACATCTATTCACTATCCAGTTAAAAAATGAAAGAAAAAAGAATGAAACATATAAGAATCAGAATACATGATTGTGAATGTAAAAAATCTAAATTTTTATTGATAAGGCATTGACAGAATTAGTAAGTGGATCTAACAAGGTTTCTGGGTATAAAAATCATTTGTATTTGCATATGCTAGCAGAAACAGTTGGAAAATGCAGTTTTAAACAAATGATAACACAAGACCATAAAGTATTGAATATGTAGGAATAAATTTAACAAAAGATGTGTAAGACTTCTGTATAAGATTATAAAATATTACTGAAATTTAAAAGATTTTAATAAATATTCATGAATTAGTAGAATCAATACTGTAAAACTTTGAATATCCCTAAATTAATTTACAAATTTGATAACATCCAACTAAAATCTTAATAGGTATTTCAACAGAAATTGAAAATCTGGTGCTAAAATTTGTATGAATACAGAAAGGGTCAAGCACAGTTAAACAATTCTTGAAGAAAAATAAAGTTGGGGCACTCACACTACCAGATTTCAAGATTTACTGTGAGGTTATGGTAAATAAGAGGGTGGTATTTGCACATGAGCAAACAGACCAGTGGAAAAGAAGACAGAATCTAGAAACAGTCAGTCAAATATATGGTCTCTCGGTTTATGACAACCAAAAACCAATTCCATGCGAATTGTGATGTGTAAATATGAAAGGCAAAGCCATAAAGATTTAAGCAGGTAAAGATTATCCTCAAGAATTAAGGAGGAACAGACTTCTTAAACGGCGCCAAAGAACACATTCACCAGAAAGGAAAACTATGAAAAACTGGATTTCATTAAAATTAAGCAATTTTACTCATCTAAACAACATTAAGACAGTGAAGTCACAGAGTGGGAGAAGATATTTGCTATATA